AGTTTTTTGCCCTCTTCTTGACTAACCAGACCTTAATTTCCTGAGGGACAATATGCTAATTAAAAGTAATCATCTCCTCAGACCTTGTAGCTACAAATAGCCATGTGACCAAATTCTGGCCAATAAGTTACAAGTGGAAGAATTTTAAAATGATTGTTCTCTTGATAAAAAGAGAAAGACAGCTGGCCCATGCTTTCCGCCATTTGCCCTCTGCTTTTCTCCTTCCTGCAGACTTGACATAATGACTTGGAGCAAGGAGTCTGCAACCATGAGAAACAATCACACACTAAAAATGGCAGACAACCTTCTTTCTGAGAAGATTTGCACAGATAATCAACAGTTAGTTGACAGTTTCAAACTCTTGTGGTGGTAAGACCATCATAATACAAAATTCCACTTAGTAAAGTTTTAGGTGACCAGTGGCTTTGCCAATTAAGTCTGCTTGTCCTGGCCCAATCCCTAGGACAGTTTGAGAGCCTCGTGCAATCTGAATATGTCCAGCATCTTGGATTAAATTTACAGTCGGTCCCAGAATTTTTGCATGGATCAATAATTAAACCAGAGTTTCTTCATCAGGGGCTTTGACCACCACTTTGGGTTGTTTACAACATTCCTGTTGTTTGAGCAATTCAGGCTTTCTCCTTTGAATCTGCTTGTAGGCAGAAACAGCAGCATAAAAGCACTGGGCAACCACTTACTCTTTTTTTCATCTTTAAGTCACTTCGAACCACAAGAATCATTTTGTACTTCCCACTCTCTCCTAAGATGCTTGCTTTAGTTCTAGTCTGTCTGTCTCACTCACTGAGCTTTTGGGGATCATCTCAAAGTGTAATGATCCCACTCCAGCACATGCCACAAACAATTGCCAAAGCCAAGCTGCATACACCAGGATAAGCCAAATATTCCATAACCAAGAGTTTGGAGAGCAACTAGAGCACCTCTCCTCCACTTCAGGTGAGTCTTTGCATTCTTAACTTTTGAGTGGCAAACATGCTTATCAATAAAGATAACTTTTAAAAAATCATTTTCTGGACTAGATCATAATATTTAAACATATATTATGATTAACCTGCAGACATTTTTAAAAAATAAGAACACCATAAATATTTGTTGGCCTGACAAATTTGTTAGTTCTAAGACTATCAGAACAATATAAATTACCCTGCTGGAGTTGAAAAACACATATGACAGCTGAAATGACAAATGCAGTATTTGTATATACATTTATAGTTCTTTTGGTAAGAAAGTAAGTCAAGAAGACCTGAATCAATGGTTTTAAGAAAAACAAATAGATAATTCACTAATACGCTTTATCCGTTTTTTATCCTACAGAAATTTATAAAGAAATTTCCAGTATAAAAACTTAGTAACATCATCAGTTTTTCACTTAAAAAGAAAATAAACGTGCATGTAAAAATACCACTATTTTTTTTCCTCTCTTTAATTCCTGACCCCTCAACATCCACCCCTGACCTATGGATGTTGCCGTATCCCCTTAAGAACTGGATCTCTGAACTGGATCTCTGAAGGAGGGGCGTCACCTCCCATGCACTTGCGGCACGCACCCAGGGCCTGGCACACCTGGGTATATAGTTCATGGCTCCACCTGGGGTGCGAACCTAGGACCTTCTGCGTGTAAAGCAGACGTGCTAATCACTACACTATGGAGCCACCCTCAAATACCATTGACTCTTGATTAAAATATTCATAGAAAATATTAGTGGCAAAATTAAATCAAAATAAGAGATGGCCTAAACCAGTGTTTCACATTCTATGTTTTGGAGAAAAATAGAATCTGAGCCTATTTTATGAAAAATGGGTATGACATTAAATGAATTTTAATTAATGATAGTTTGAACAGGTTAGACACATTTCTTTCTTTCTTTCTTATAGGCTTTAATGTGATAACGTGCATTGTGAATTCCCAAAGGAGGTATGTGAAATGCAGTGTGTCCCAACTTATTTCAGTCTGAGCATCTCACAGGACCTGGTTAAGTGGGTCACACTTCAGGAAACACTGTTGCAGGATGATAGCACGAGCCAAATCAAATCAGGTTTTTCTTACATATTTTATTTACATATTTCTGGAGAAGGTAATTATGCCTTTTATTTAAAATATTTCCTTTAAAAATATAAATGAGACTCTAAATTGTTAGTAAATTTTGACTTATCAAGGAAAAATAAATATTGCTCAGATTTTCAGACTTATAAGATAAATTAGAGTATATGTAGAGCCACCCACCTATTAAAAATAATCAACTACTAAAATCTGTGGGGGATAAATGCAACCAATTATGACTCCTTTCTTTAGTGTAAAGAGACTCAGAATTTAGTTCTGTACTCTCATGTATAATAATCATAGTACTTTGAACAAATCGCATACCATCTCAAAAGCTTTATTTCGTTAACTATAAAGTACTATACAGCATAAAGTTGGACAGCATGAACTCTATGAAATTTTTTAGCTCTAAAAATGGGACTTTTCCAACTTACTTCACTTAATATTTATTAAACAAAATAATATTTATTAAATATTTGTTTAATACTTATTAAACAAAATTACACATTTTCAAAATCATCATGAAGTATACATTGTTTGCATAATACCTCTCTCATATTTATCGCTTAAAACTTTAAATGTGCAATTCATTTTGGTAAAAAGCAGATTTTTATGTCCTTGTAAAGTCTGAAGCATAACTATATTTAAAACACATATATGTCTATGGACTGGGGGAAGAGGGACAATGGACCACAGTTTAGTAATTCTTAAAAGTAATACCTGAATACTTGAAAGCAAATTATTATCATTCAACCAGAAGCAAAGCAAATGAACACATTGTGTCCTTTAAATTGTTAATTATTTTCAAAAGCAAAGTTTAGCTTTAACACAATAAAAGAACAATGTTCCTGTTGACAAGTAGAAAGATGTAATAATAATGACATCTAACAAATGTTCTTTATGACATGATACTATATATAGAGAACCCTAAAGAGTCCACCAAAAAACTGTTAGAACTGATCAACGAATTCACTAAAGTAGCAGGTTACAAAATAAATATTCAGAAGTCAGTGGCAGTTTTATACACCAATGATGAACTTTCGGAAAGAGAAATTAAGAAAACAATCCCATTTACAATTGCATTGAAAACAATAAAATATCTGGGAATCAAATTAACCAAGGAAGTAGAAGACCTGTTCTCAGAAAATTCTAAGTCATTGAAAAAAGAAATTGAAGAAGATACAAATAAATGGAAGCATATACCATGCTCATGGGTAGGAAGAATCAACATTATTAAAATGGCCATACTACCCAAAGCAATCTATAGATTCAATTCGATGCCTATCAAAATACTAATGGCATTTTTCAGAGTTAGAATAAATAATCTTAAAATTTATATGGAACCACAAAAGACCCTGAACAGCCACAGCAATCTTGAGAAGGAAGAACAAAGTTGGAGGTATCACCTACCCGATATCAAACTATACTAAAAGGCTACAGTAATCAAAACAGCATGCTACTGGTATAAAAACAGATACATTGATCAATGGACGAGAATAGAGAACTCAGAAATAGATCCATGCTTATACACTCACTTAATATATGACAAAGGAGGTAAGACTATACAATGGGGTAAAGATAGTTTCTTCAATAAATGGTGCTGGGAAAATTGGACAGATACATGCAAAAAGAAAAAAGAAAAGGAACTGGACCACCTTCTTACACTGTATACAAGAATAAACTCAAAATGGATTAAAGACTTAAATGTAAGACCTAAAACCATGAAACTTCTAGGAGAAAACATAGGCAGTAAGCTCTTTGATATTGGTAACAGGAATTTCTTTTCAGATATATCTTCTAGGGCAAGGGAAACAAAAGAAAAAATAAACAAATGGGACTACATTGAACTAAAACTTTGTACAGCAAAGGAAACTATCAACAAAATAAAAAGACAATCGACTGATTGGGAGAAGATATTCACTAATGATACATCTAATAAGAGGTTAATATCCAAAATATATAAAGAACTCATACAACTCAACAAGAAAAAAACAAACAATACAATTAAAAAATGGGCAGAAGACCTGAACAGATACTTCTCCAAAGAGGAAATACAGATGGCCAACAGACATATGAAAAGATGGTCAAGGTCACTAATCATCAGAGAAATGAAAATTAAAACCACAATGAGCTATCACCTGACACCCGTCAGAATGGCTATCATTGATAAAGCAAAGAACAAGTATTGGCGAGGATGTGGAGAAAAGAGAACCCTCATACATTGTTGGTGGGATTGCAAATCGGTACAGACGCTAGGGAAAACAGTCTGGAGTTTGCTCAAAATTAAAAATGGATATACCTTTTGACCCAGCAATTGTACTTCTGGGTATTTATCCAAAGAAAATCAAAACAATAATTTATAAAGATCTAGGCACCCCAGTATTCATGGCAGCACAATTTACAATAGTCAATATATGGAAGCAACCTAAATGCCCAACAACAGATGATTGGATAAAGAAGTTATGGTTCATATATACAATGGAAAATTACTCAGTCATAAAAAAAAAAGAAATCCTCTCATTTGCAACGACATGGATGTACCTAGAAGTTATTATGCTGAGTGAAATAAGTCAGACAGAGAAAAGTAAATATCATTTGATTTCACTCATAAGTGAAATCTAAGGAACAAAAAGAACAAACTAATCAAAAACAGACTCACTAATATAGAGGAAAATTTGGTAACAGACAGAGGGGAGGGAGTTTGGGGGGCTGGGAGAATGGGGTGAAGGGTTAAAGAAGTACAAATTAGCTGACAGATGGTCACAGGGATGGGGGCATGGCACAGAGCATGCAGTTAGCATTAATATATTGGCTAGGTGGAAAACCAGAGGAGAGAAGGAGCAATTAGGGAGATTGTTTTATAAACTATATAAATGTCTAACCAATGTACTATATACTTAAAAATAATAAAATTAAAAAAAAAGAAATTTTAATTATTTACCTGTAATGGACCCAAGATAGAGCTTGTTGTATACATAAAAAAGAGACGAAGATAGCTCAGAACATTTGCAAATGCAAAAAGCCCTTCTGCCACCAGTGTAGGATGGAATGCATCCCAGTCCTTCCGATCAGCAAAATCATGAAACTAAGGTTAGAAAGAAAAAGCCAAAGGTAAATAGCTCTCTCAATTTAGGAATATAAAAACAAACATTCTGATTTAAAAAAACTATTTTAATTATGACTCCCTCTTTGTGAGAGATCTCTATTTATGTTTTATAAAGTTCTCTTCTTTTAATAAAAATAACATTGTTTTAATTAAATAAAAGATTCCTACAGAGATGAGGCAATATCGCTTACTCTATATATGGTTTTCTCAGAAATTCTTAGGTTTTAAAAAATTAAACAATTAAAAAAATTGTCATTAGTGCTCATTTCGGCAGCACATATACTAAAAAACTGTCATTAAACTTTTTATGAATGAAATGTTTGTTAGTTTTCTTTAAATTCCACAACACAAACTTACGTACCTTTGCATGTCAATTAATAAGCTATCATATTAAATTAACCTAGCCTCTAACTCAGGATTCTAGAACAAACTATAGAGATTCTTCTCCCTTCTAAATACCAAGAAAAAGAGTGCATTGTTATCCCTAGACGTAGAGTGGCCACATGTTCCAATTGCCTGGGATAGTCACAGATTATATACCAGTTTTCCTAGCATAATAATTAATAGCATCTGTCCCCTTTCACTCTCAAAAAATCCTGGTTTGGATAATAAATTATCTAGGAATCCCACTTCTAGAACTAAAGAGACCAGCTAGAAAAAAAACAAAAACAAAAAACAAACAAACAAAAAACCAAAAAAAAAAAAAAAACAACTACCCTCAATCTCTTTATTGAATCATATATCTATATATGAGCAATTTTTATTTTCTTAGTAATTTTGCAACTCTGGGTATTGAACATACCTAACAAACATATTCCATACTACCAATTACTTAAATAAATAGAGGGTTTTTTTTTAATAAAGTAAAATGATGTAAGGATAACCAGTTTGCTTTCTCTAAAGTCTATAAATTAGTAAAAAAAAAACCCAGAAAATATCATATTTTTTAGTTCCTTGAATGTGACACCTCAGAAGAATGCTAAACTCAAGGTTTAAACAAAGATAGTTAACATAAAATCCATTGCCTTTTCTGGGCTTGGGGTAGCTTAAAGCTTTATAAAAGTAAAATTGTAGGATGTCTATAAGGCTAGATTTTTGTCAATTCTAAATTTAAAAATATAGGCATCAGAAAAATAATTACATATACAGTAACCACTTTTTAAGCTGTATAACATAATAATCATGATTTAGAATGTGTAAAACATTATATAATGGATTCCATTCAGATAAACCTCTTTTCTGGCAGATGTAAAAATATCTAACGCTAATCAATTTAAGTAAGTTTATGTTTTCATTTTAAGTATATACAGGTTAATGAAGTAAATAAACCTGGCTCAGATATAAGGAATTGGCATTTGGTAGAAAGAAAATGCCTAAACAGACCTGGATTTAAATCCGGTCTTGGTTTCTTATTGTGTGGTCTCGGACAAGTTACTTAGTATTACTGAGCTTCATTTTCCTTATTAGCAAAATAGGAATAAGGACATCTGTCTCATAGAGTCCCTGTGAGGATAAAATGAGATAAAGTATAACAAGTATCAATCATGGTGCCTGGTATTAACAAGTAACCAACATTGAAAGGTAATTAACATCCTTCCAACTATTGGAAAGGAAGGAAACACTGTACTATTCCCTTGTACAAGGATAGGTTTAAAATAAAAACACATCAGATATAGATTTGAGCCAAAGTTAACTCTGAGTTAGGTAGCTAAAAATCTCAGGTTTTTCCTAAACAAACTTCATTTGTACCTCCAATTGACATAGTTAATAGTCACCTTGTTGTGAGCAACCACTTTGAGGGCAAAGGTTGCCAAATAAAGTGAATTCATGACAAAACTGAGTTGATTACGAGATTCTTCTAAAAAGTCTTCCAACCCTTCATACCAGAGTCTTTTAATGTCTGACCAAATCATCCCTAAAAATAAGGAAGAAAAAATCAGATAATTCTCTTAATCCAAAAATAAAACAAAATAATACTTTAAGTATTAAATAACACTTGCATCAGCTATAGTTTCATTCAGAAGAAAAAAATAACTTCAGTAAAAAATTCTCAAAATTTGAAAGAAAATAACCTTAAGTTTCATATGACAATAAAATCCCAGAGAGGGATTTTAATAAGTGAGGTCAAATAAGTGTAAGAAAATAAATCGATGCTAAACACACACACACACATACACACACACACACACACACACAGAGCTCAGTCCCTGATCCTTTTCTCTATCTACACTCACTCCTATGGTGACCTCATTCCGTCTAGTCTAATGGCTTTAAACACCACTTATGCAGTAGACTTTCAAATTTCCATCTCTAAACTCAACCTGTATTTATATAATAATTAATATCTCTAAATCTCCCTTTTAAATTCAACTTATATAGGTAGTTGGCTACTCTATGTCTCCAACTAGACATACTAAAATGTCCAAACTGAACTCCTAATCTCTGCCCTCAAATTCACTGCACTTGAAGACTCCCCCATCTCAGCTGATGGCAACTCCATCCTTCTATTTGCTCGATCCAAATGTCCTTGAATCATCCTTGACTCATATTTCTTTTAACCACACCTTCAATGCAATAGCAAAACTGTCGGCTCTACTTCCAAAATATATTTAGGATCTAACCTTTCTCACTACTTCGCCTTCAAGCCACCATCCTCTCTTGCCTGGATTACATATAGCGTGCCTAGTCTCCTTCTTCTACCCTAATCTCCCTGAAATCTATTCTCAACAGAGTAACCCTTTTAAAATGCAAGTGTTACTTCTCTCCTAAAAACTCTGTAGTAACTCTGAGAGGGTTAACTGCAGCTAAGAACTTTTTCTCCATGGGAACATAACCTCATGTTATTGTCTATTAAAGTGATTTCCTTGGAAACATACTATGTTAAGAAAAATATGGAAGGACACCTGTGTTCAACATTATAGAAATAAGCACAGATTGGAACTGCATCTGGACTTGCTGTGAGTGAACTCGTAGACTTTGAAGGTATACACAGCTAAGACGATATAAAAACAGTTGAGAAACACAGGCCTCAGCTTCTCTGTGATATCTCTCTTAAGAGTGTGCCTGTAGTGGGAACTATACTCTTAGGCTTGATAAGACATAGTTCCTGCTAGATTTGAGGTTTCTCTAGCTGGGGTAGCCTCCAACCATCCATATGGCCTCATTCCATACAATTGAGTGTGCCCGCTATAAGGCTGAGAAGCAGCCCCAAACTTTTGTAAGAACTGCCAACATTTGAAGCTGTCATGCTGACATGCTGTACTTTCTGGTGCCAGGTTTCTGCCATTTTGTCCTGTGAATGTTAATGTCAGTGAGAACCCAAAACCACCACTGCCGATTGTGCAGTGGGTACTGCACCTTCCCTTATAGCTCATTTCACTCAGAGTCAGAACCAAATTCCTTACAATGGCCTAAGGCCCTACATTACCTCTCCTCTCTGACCTCCTCTTCTATCAATCTTTCCTTACACCACTCTAGTCACATAGGCCTCTTCACTCCTTGTTTTCTGAACACAAGAGTCTTAACTTCAGGCCTTTACACTGGTGCTTCCCACTGGGCGGAAGCTCCTCATCCAGATACCCATTTGGCTAACTCCCTCATTTCACGTCTTTGCCTACCACCTGCCCTTTCATCCTATTTAAAATCGTAAAGCCCATGCTACCCCACTCACAATCTCCCAACTCTGCTTCTATCTTTCTTTTCCCTTAGTACTTACCACTTTTAAACATTGGATATAGTTTACTTATTATATTATCAGTTATCTCCCCCACCCACAACCTCCCCCACACACTTTAGGTAAGCTCTTCAAGGGTAAGAATCTTTGTTTTATTACCTAATGTCCTAAATATCCTAAATAGTGCCTGATACATAGTAGGTTCTCAAAAAAACTGCTAAGTGAATAAACATACACAAATAAAAAACAAACAAACAAACAAACAAAAACCCCTTCCTCTTTTTTGGCCAAAGGGTCTTCCATAGTTATATATTCCTAGGAACTCCAGAGAACAGCAATATAATCCAGGATAATTTTATGATACATTCCTTCATTAAGATATTTTTTAAATGATTATAAAGTAACAAAGAATAGAGTGCTGCAATATAACATATGGGTGAAGATCAAATTGAGTCAACCAGAATTGTTTTCTGGTTTACCAGTAGGCAGAATAATTCATCTGGGAAATACCTGAAGCATTCTTCAAAAACTGTTCATAATATCTTAATTATACAAGTACCTATATTTTATGTAGAAAAAACATTTAAAAATATTTTCAGATATGACAAGGAAAACACTTAAAAAAATTCCACTTGAATTTCTTTTTAAAATGAACAGATCAGGAGGAGTACTGGGAGTGGGAATAAAAAATAATAAAAATAAAACGAACAGATAAATATTACCTGAAAATGTTAAACTCAATAGTCTACATTTTATTAAGTTAAACACTATGAAACTAAAACATTAAACCAAAAAAAGATGCTTGTAAAATATGCATTTTATTTCTGTTAAATTCAATTTTATACCTAAAGGTAACTCTTGGCAAAAATTACAACATGAATTGGAGATTTTTATCAAAAAAAGCAGACATCTGAAAGAGTAGTAAGTGCCAGCATCAGGTAGTTTCTCCTGTGTAACATCTCATACCAAAATGAAGCTAATACGGTTGATGTATTTCATACCTCTTAATTGAATTGGAAGAATAAAATAATTATAACCAATACAATCACTACATAATCAATGTATTATATTTTATGGTCCTTTTGTTTTTGTTTTTTAGAATTAGTAACATTAATAAACTGTAATCTCATCATTTTGGGATTCTTCAAGGCTTACTCCTAGGTCTTCTTCTCTTTCATTTTATATTTTTTCTAGTGTCTCATTCATGTACATTGTTAATTCACACATTGTTAACTCAAGCTTAGACTTCCTCTTGAGCTCCAGACTAGATATTCGACAGTCTGATTGACATCTCTTTTGGATATCATGAAAGCTTTTCCATTTCAACATATCCAAAACCATGCTCAGGATCTACTCTCTCACAAATCCCTCACAACTTTCTATGTTGCTTAATAATCTCCATCTCCTTCTCCCTCACTCCCACATAATATGTATTTCCATTTCCTATTGGCTTTACTTTGTAAAATATCTCTCAAATCTGTTCCTTTCTCTCATTTTCTATCACAACCACCCTAAGTCCAAGGTTCCATCAGCATTCACTGGAATACTGCAACAGCCTCCTTACAGTCTCTCTCCATCTACTCTTGACACAGCCCTACCCTCCCAACCCATTTTCCACACTGTAGCCAGAATGATCTTTTTAAAAGGCAAATCTGATCATGTCACATACCTAAAAACTTCAATGGTTTTCCATTGTTCTTAGTATAGTCAAAATTACTTAAAATGGCCTATAAGGTTGTCCAGGGTCTGGGGCAACATCAATTTCTATAGCTTCTTCTTGATTCCTCTTCCCTTGCTCTCTTTGCTCCAGCCTTTATTCGGTCTCTTCTACGTACCATGCTTCCTTTTGCCACGGAGCCTCTGAATGTAACTTTGATATCAGCCTGAAGTACTTTCCTCTTCCAATTCTCCTAGTTGACTCCTATTTATCCTTTAGATGTTAGCTCATTTATTACTTCCTCGAGATAGTCTTTCTGATCTCCCCAACTAAGCAAAATGCCCTTAGTAGCAATTAGCTCATTTGTGATTTTTAATTTATATGTGTGACTCTCAAGTAATTGTGTTTTGGGGATGTGTGGTTTTTTTTTTTTTTGGTTTTTTTTTTGCCTTAATTAGACCATAAGCTCCATGAGTATTGGGCCATATCTGTCTCTGCTTGTGCTTGGATAAGGTAAGTATACAACATTTAAAAAAATATATTTTTATAGTAGTTTCCTATTATATTCTAACAGTGAAAAGTTAAGTAAAAAGAAACCAGCAATAGTTGTGCATTCATCAACATATTGTTTCATTTTTCCCTACCTTGCTATTTATAATTCAACCCTGCTTTTTTTCTGGAGGGCTAAGGAAACAAACAGGAAATTAATGTACAAAAGTCATTCATTATGAGTCAAAAGTCACTGTGCTCACTGCATGAAATAATAAATTGAACCAAATAGTGCCTTTAGACAGCAGGCAAACGATTCCTACATGTTTCCTCAGAGCACATTCAGATCTATATATTTAAGGAAGCCCAGAGTGATCTAATTACATAACAGGCTCAGAAGACATCCTTAGCAGGGTTTATTCAGATCTAAAAGTTTTAAAGCAGAAGCTGTGCTGAGAAAAGTAAAATAATTCAAGGAATTTTACTGGCTTAATTCACGTTGCACTCTTCTACTGAGGCAGAATATGGTTAGAAAATTAATCATAGTGTGTGTGTGCATGAGCGTGCACACATGCAAATGTGTTCAATAATGTTATTGAAAATAGGGCCATGTGATTAAAAAGAAATAGCCATAGTTTTACCATTATGAAATGCAGTGACAGCAGCATATTCATGCTATCCAAAGAGCAGTATGAGTTCAATGAGTTTCTACTCACTGCTAAGAAATATAACTTCAACTTGATTCCTGTACAGACTTGCGTAAACTGAACCTTATTTACAAAACAAAGAAAATATTCTTTCTTTCTCACTACCATTTAAACAATAGGTTATAATGAAACAATGTAAAATTTTCTTTATGACAATCTTTCAGGAATAGTTTGAATAGAGAGATGCCTTTCAGCCTAATATTTTTTAACCTATTCAAATAACAATATAAACAAATTTTACATTGGAAAGATCTACAACAATGCAATTTGGAACTATATATGATAAAATCTAAATTATTTTGTAAAATATTAAATTTTAGATAAAATAGCAGAAACACAGAAAACAGGAAAAATTAACAAGGAGAAATTATTTAATTCTCTTTAACCCAGAGTTTAGATGTGTATTCTTTTTACTTCATCTATCTGATTTTAAACATTAATGTATCATGGGTCACATACTGCTAAAAGTAAAACACTGATTAAAATCAAGTTACTTGAAATTAACTAATTTCCAGATAAAAATAAAAATCCTAAAATATGCAAATTATTTTTATAGCTGAAGGAAAACTAAGAGTGAACATTGTACATTAACTCTTCTCAAATTATTTAATAATTGAAAAAATCAAGAACATATTAACATATATGCTTTATACCATTGAAAAGACTAAATTTCAATATCATTTCATTCTATAGCAAATAGTAGAAAGATAAATGGGAAGTGCTGAGGTTAAAAACAGGGTTGAAGATCCAGAGGGAAATAAAGCAGATGTCATTAAAAGTCCATAAATAGACAATATGATTATACCTCAACCCCTCACCTCCCCCCTCCCAACCAAATAAAGGGTGATGGCAGCAGAAGGTCATTTAAAATATTTATTATATAACATAATAACTTATTAAAAACAATTTTAATAAAATAAAATGTCATATATTTTTTAAAAATCTGTAATTTCTAAAGTAATCTAGCTATCATTACAAGGAACTGATTTATAGAGTGAGTCACCAGGGAAGATGTAACTACAGAAGTTCATAGGTTCTCAAAAAGAGAACTAATAATATAACAAAATAGTTAACTCTTAAAATTCAACCAAGTATAAAATATATTACACTTTAAAATACTGAGAATAGGTTCATACTCTTATGCCAAAAAAGCAATGATCAGCAAAATCTGTTTTCCTGTTTTAATAATCATGGACAATTTTAGAGACCAAGAATAAAAACATTTTAACATGGATAAAAACTTCCATGTAATTAAGTAATATCAAATAAGAGCTCTGTTTCCTTATCATCAAGTTTAGGAATGTTTTCTTTACAAAAATGTTAGTTAAGTCTTCAATGATCATGGAAGTATTCAAATTCTTGCTGTGCAAACAGTGTAAAATTACATATTGAACACAGATGTTTATAATGCCACCAAGCAAGGGAACGTTAATGGGCTAAATAAAGGCAAAACCTTTCAAATGAACTTAATACTTACCAATAATCCAGAGTATAAGAAGATAGTCTATTCTTTCAAGGGCTGGCCCCATTGTGTTTTTCTTATCCTCATTGTAGACAAGAGAGTACAGGTTTAGTAATAGCAAGAATGTGAAATATGATGCTCCATGAATAATAAATTTCATAAAAGGTGTATGAATGATTCTGCCAAACTGAGATTTGGGAGCTATCAAATAGCAAAGTGACAAAACTGGCCAAAAGATACCAACTGTTAAAACAGTTATTATCTTCTTACAGGTAGGCTTACGTCGGTAACCTGACATCTGTCCAAACCAAACAGTGTTCAGGAACTGCTGGCAGTTAGACTGGGAGACAAACTGAAAAGAAATACACACATAAAAAAAAAAAAAAAGAGTAAAATAAAACCTGTAAATAGAATCTGATAATACCATTATTTAATTGATACTTAGTTTTAATAGCTTTTTTTCTTCTAAAAAAATGCAATGCTTCACTAATTTATATGTCATCCTTGTGCAGGGACCATACTAACATGTGAAACAAACACAATAATAGTTTAAAACCAATTTTATACAGTCTACACAGCTTTTTATTTCCTTACACGTGTAGATGTTAAGAGCATAACCTCTGGAGCCAGATTACCTAGATTCAAATCCAGGCTCTGCCACTTATTAAATGACCTTGAGTAAATTTGAATCTCTCTAAGCCTCAAATTTCCTATCTATAAAATGGAGATAATAATAGTATCTACTTCATAAACTTGTTATAAAGATTAAATGTAGGGGAGAAAAAAAATGGCATAGATGATAGAAGCTCTGTTCATCTCTCTGGTGACCAAATCAAAGTTGTGATGGAAACAAGGAGTAGCAGCAAAGAAAAACTGCCTGGGATCTAGATGAACAAGCCATACAACTAGGGAGAAATCCAAGAAAGCACTCTGCAAGGGCAGAAGGTAGGATGGGGCGAGGACGCAAGGCTGCCCGGTCTCAAGCAGCTGAGTGAGATGGAGGCTGCAGCAGTGGCAGCGGCAGCAGCAGAAAAGCCTCTTAAAGTGGCTGTGTCTGCGAGTGGATTTTCACAGTGATGGACCTGCTCCCTCTGAGCACCAGTGCCCGACTGGCTGCGCGCAGTGGGCACGAGGGACGTACAGGGAGATATTGTCGGTGTGAGGGTCGAGGCGAGACTCACCCCGTACCGAAGTGCTAGTGGTATACATTGTTCCCTGTTGAGCCATATCCCCTCCCAGTGCACTGACACAGTGCAACCATAGCTGTGACCTCATCAAACTGGATAACAGAGGTCACTCCGCCCAGAGGATCCCCTGAAACCCTACCTCTCCCAACCCTGGCCCCACCCAAGCCACATCCAGGTATATCCTCAGCAAGTCAGGTGAGCCTTGCTGAGCAGCGCCTAGACTCACACTGGAGGCAGCTGGCCTTGGTTTCTGGTATGGCCCTTTGAGGCAACTATAAGCACAGTAGATTCCTTGCTGAATCTTGACAGGTGGCCCCAGAGGGGTAGAGGCTTGGGCTAAATTTGGCCTGCAGCTGAATCCCTGTCAAGACTGTGCCACTGGACATCTACTTCACAAATTCACACTAAAAAGACCGGGAGACTGAGGAGCTTTGCTTAGTACATAGAAATAGACACGGAAAGGCAGCCAAAATAGGAAGACAAAGAAGCAGAAACCATACGACAGAACAGACCAGAGACCCAAATATAATGGAGTCAAGTAATCTAAAAGATGTAGAGTTCAAAACACTGGTTTTAAAGATGCTCAATGAACTTTTGGAAAATGTAGAGAACTCTAACAAAGAGATAAAAATGGAGATGGAGATTATAAGAAGGAACCAGTCTGAAATAGAGAACACATTATCTAAGATGAGAAGTATATTAAATGGAATAAACAAAGGAATAAACAAAGTGAATAAAGAAGAGGATCACATGCCCTATCTAGAGGACGGGAAAGCCAATCAGGACACTCAAACAGAATGGCAAGAAAAAAGAGGCCAAGACTATAAAGATGATTTAAGGAAGATATAGGGACACTATTAAGGCTCCAAATATTTGTCTGATTGGTGTAACTGAAGAAAATCAAGATGTTGAACAGCTGTTTGAAGAGATAACAATGGAAAACTTCCCTAAACTGGTGAAGGAAATGGACATAAAACCCCAGGAAGCTCAGAGGATTCCAAAAATCAAGGATCCAAAGAGGCCCAACCCAAGACACATCATAATTAAAATGCCAAAGGTAAAATATAAAGAAAAAATTTTAAAAGCAGCAAGAGAAAAACAAATAATTACATATAAGGGAATATCAATATGACTGGCAGCTGATTTCTCAAGAGAGACTATGCAGGACAGAAGGGCTTGGCCAAAGATATTAAAAGAATGAAGACCCAGGATATACAACCAAGAATAATTTATCCAGCAAAGCTATCATTGAGAGTTGAAGGACAGATAAAGAGCTTCCTAGACAAAAATAAACTAAAGGAATTTAACACCACCAATCCAGAATTACAGGAAATGTTGAAGAGACTTCTTTAAAAAGAAAAAAACATGTATCAAAAACAGGATAAAGAATGGTAACAACTACATTCCTATCAATAAGTACCTCAAATGAAAAAGAATTAAGTGCTCCAATCAAGGGATGGAGTGGCTAAAAGGATAAGAAAACAAGACCCCTATATATGAAAAGGAAGGGGATGGAAAAAGATATTGCTGTGATGAACCTAGAAGGTATTTAAGTCAGACAGAGAAAGATAAACACTATATGATTTCACCAAAATGTGGAATTTAAGGAATAAAAAGAACAAACTAATAAAAAACAGACTCACAAATATAGCAGACATTTTGGTGACGGATAGAAGGAAGGGGAGTTTGAGGGGCTGGGATAATGGAATGAAGGCTTAAAGGAGTATAAATTAGTAGCTGACGGATGGTCATGGGGATGGGAAGCATGGCATAAGGAATGCAATTAGCATTAATACATTGGCTAGGTGGAGGGTCAAGGGAGGGAGGGAGCAATTGGGGGATCATTTTACTAACTATGTAGATGTCTAACCAATATACTGTATACTTGAAACTAATTAAAATTTTTAAAAAATAGATTAAATGTAAGTTCTCAGAATAGTGCCTGATTCGTAGCGTACACTATTAAATATTAATTATTACTAGCTTACTTAGTCATTTAATTTATAAAGACTCATAATAATGTTTATGAAATTTCAAAGTTAACAAGCACAATCCATAAAAAGAAACTTCGGTCTACAAATACCAATGATTTCATTTAAAGAAACCAAGATGTCAAGATAGCAAAGCGATCAAAGTATAAATATCAGACATATTTATGATCCATGAAAACACCAAGAATTTAAAATGCACTAAAGATACTCTTAAACCTGCTTAAAACTGAATTCTGTGTGAGAAGTAAAGGAAAAATATTCTCAAATAAGAAGAAAAGTTTAGTTCAATTATAGAAATTAATTTATCAATATTTACAAAGCTGCTTAGTTTACAAATTCCAGAAGCAGTATTTTCCCAATATAATGCTCACACTGTGAAGTTAACTTAAGGATTCTGATAAATCCGAATACAATAATGTGATCAGGTTTGAAGTTACCAAAGTAAAGCACAAGTGGTCTTAATATCATTCAGATATCTAAATAATATGGTCAATCTTCTGTTTTAAAATGATTTACCCTGAGACAGATATAGTTTGCAGAATGCAACACTGTATTTAAAAAAAACAAAAAAAAGGCATTTCTATTGTTGTTTGTTGTGCTTATCAAGAAATTTCCTAATATACTTTGCTTTTTTGGCACTTAAATCTTCATTCTTTATGCCTCTGCTCAAATTCAGGTGTTCTTAAGGAATCTTCATTTGTCCTTCAAGATGAAATACTGGAGAGAAAAACAGCTTTTTCTCCCACCAATTACCCAGTTTAGCAGCATCCCAAACTTAGTGGTTTCACCTTTCTCCCAAACATCAAAGGAATCTCAGGACTATTTGCTGTCCTTGATATCTTTCTAATATAATGACGATTTAATTAACAGTAATGTTAAATATGTAATTGGAAAGACAAAATTTCAATGAAAAATATTTAAGTTTACGGTGGATTTAAAACATAGACACAAATTTTTTGATATTCCTCTTATTCTTACCCTTTGATTCAACAAGCTTCTAATTACTTTAACTAGTAATTCTGGAAGAAGTGATGCTATGTGATTTCTGAAGGTAAGTCATAAAAGGCCTTGCTGCTTCTACTTAGAAGAACGCTTGCTCTAGGAGCCATAAATTGCCATGTAAAAAGTCCTACTACCCTGAAGCCACCATGCTGTGAAGAAACCCAGGCTTCTTGTATGCACTCTGGTCAGCCCTCAGAGGCTTCTCAGACCATCTCCTCACAGCCAACCTACCACAACGGCCATGCCCTTCCATGGTTCCCGTTCTCAAGAGACCCACTTTCTATGGACCCATCCACCTGAGCACCCAGCCAACTCAGCGCTCCATGTTTGAGTCCTCAGCTGCTGCTAGGGACAAGAGATATGTGTGAAGAAGCCTCCAGATGGTTGTAGCCCTCAATCATAAGAGGTATCTTCAGGTGAGACCCTAGACATAGTGAAGCAGGGATAAATCACCCTTGCTGTGCTCTTTCCTAATTCCTGACCTAGAGAATCCAAGGGCATAATAAAATAATTGTATAATAAAGCTATTATAAAATGATTATGAAATGTTGTTTCATGCCAGTAAGTATTAGGATAGTTTGTTATGCGGGATGAATTACCTGAATAAAGTTTACTATTTGGGAAAATATTATCTCCTCCTTTAATTGTATTTAGATATCTAGTTTAAAAAAACTAATTTACAGTCAGCTGATTTCTCAACAGAAATTTTGCAAGCCTGAAGGATTGTCAAGGAATATTCAAAATGATGAAAAACAAGGATCTACAACCAAGATTACTCTACCCAGAAAAGCGATCATTTAGAATTGAAGGAGAGATAAAGAGCTTCGCAGATAAGAAAAAGCTAAAGGAGTTCATCGCCACCAAACCAGTATTATAAGAAATGTTAAATAGACTTCTTTAAGAAGAAGAAAAAAATAAAAAATATGAATAAAAAATATCGCAAAGAAAAAAATTCTCACTGACAAAGGCAAATGCATAATAAAAGCAGTGGATCAACCAACGCTAAAGCTAGTACAAAGGTTAAAAGGCAAAAGTAAAAAAGCAAAAGTAGAAAAATGTGTAATTACGACAGTAAATTAAAGGATACACACACACACACAAAAGAGGTAAAAAATAATGACAGAAAACATAAACATGAAGGGGGCGAGTAAAAAACAGTAGTGATTTTAGAATGTGTCTGAACTTAAGTGGTCATCAACCTAAAACAGACTGCTATAAACAGAGCCTGGTATACATGAAGCAATGGCAACCGCGAACCAAAAATCTAGAAGAGATATATAAGAAATAAAGAGAAAGAAATCCAAACATAATACTATAGAAAGTCATCAACACACAAGAGAAGAGAGGAGGGGAATATGAAAGGAACAGAGAAAAACAATCAGAAAACAATAAAGTGGCAATACACACCTATCAATAATTACTTTAATGTAAATATGTTAAATGTGCCAATGAAAAGACAAATGGATAAAGAAAATGTGGTACATATATACAATGGAATATTGCTCATCCATAAAAAAGAATGAAATCTTAGCATTTGCGACAACATGGATGGACCTAGAGGGTATTATGCTAAGTGAAACAAGTCAAACAAATACCATATGATCTCACTTACACGGGGAATCTAAAAATCAAAATAAATGAACAAACAAAACAAACTTATAGACACAAAGAACAAACTGATGGTTGCTGGGTGGGAGAGGGTTTAGAGAAGCTGGGTAAGAAAGATGAAGGAATTAAGAAGTACAAATTGGCAATTAAAAAATAGTCACAGGGATATAAAGTACAGCTTAGGGTGTATAGTCAAAAATATTGGAATAACTATATATGGTGTCAGGAGGATGCAAGACTTATCAGGAGATCATTTTGGAAGTTATATAAATATCTAACCACTATGCTGTATACCTGAAACTAATACAATACTGAATGTCGACTGTAATAAAATAAAATTTTTAAAAAGCCTAATTTGTATTTTTATTCAACCTTAAAATAATAGAGTATCTTCCTTTTAACTAAAAATATTACTATTTCTTCTTGTTTCCTTTTCTTTCATCTTCTTTAGAATGGAACATTTGGTTTTCTTCTGTGTGTCCTTCAGGGATATAAAGGTATCATTGGGAAACTGCTTTTTAGATTTTTCTTCCCTAGCCAGGATAACTTTGGTTCTTTCCACCTTTCTTTGATGTTCTTTTTCCAATTACTTAAGCTGATTTTGTACTTTGTTTTCCCTTTATTCTATCATTTTCTAGAATTTCGTGTCTATTTTAAATTGTGGAACACAGAAGTAAATAAATTAACTTAAGATCTAGTCAATGTCTAGTCAAAATATATATGAAGAAGATTACATCAGGGTTTCTATTCCCTGTTTCTACTTATACAAATTAGCATGTATTTCCTTTTTTAAGCCACATAGATATTTTGTTGATTTATAGTTTATAGCTATATTGATCCAAATTCTTATACTTAATTTTTTTTTTTTTTTTGCCTATAAATATTCTACCTTAAGTAAGAACCTTGGAGTACTACAAAAAAATATAGAATTTGAAGCCAGAGACCTGGATAATCAATATACTACCTAGGTAATCCTAAAGTAAACATCTTAAAATTCCTGTATCACTTTCCTGGGTCACAGAGCTATTGTAAGGCTCAAATATTCAACCAAGATAATAAAAAAATTCTGTTCATAGCACCAAAGGTCCTGTATTTTGCCCTTTTACCATTATCTATTTCAGGCTCCACTTTTATGTTACTGTAAATTTGATAAACAAGTCTTATTCTAATATCTATGATGATAATAAAATAATGGGTCTTAGAAGTAATACCTTAAAGTACCATTTACCAATATTCCATACTATCAACTGAATATCATTGTCTATACATAAATACCCATGTTTAGTAAATTGTCCTTAAAATGAAATTTAAAATGAATATCTTCTTTCTTCAAGTTCTTGAATCATGTGTGTATATGGGGTGGGTAGAAATAAGTATCTCCCTTAATAGGAAAGGATGATGCCAGAAGACCCATATTCAACTTAGTTATATCATACACCCCTCCACCTTTGGGTTTCATAATGAATTAACAAATAAGAACTAGAAAACATAATATCTGATACCTTATTTTTAAACACAAAGGCACTATTAATATAGAAAGTACTATTATAACCAGATAGATAAAACAAACTATGAAAGACAAAACACAAGATGGAAACTTCACTATGAAGTCAATTACAAGATCTTACCTGTGTAGCTACTATTTTGTAAAATCATTAAATTAACATCCATTTATTATTATAATTAATATTAGTTGTTGAAAATTATAGCAACTACCACTGAATACTTGTTCAATGCTAGTACTTATTACACTAAATTCTTTAAACATGTACTATCCTTAATTAATTCTTAAAAGTAAAGCTCAGAAATATTTAATAATTTTCCCAAGGACACATAGTTCTATGAAGTAGAACCAAGGTCTCAACCTAGATGTGTTGCTTCAAAGCTTTTGCTCTGAGCCACTAGACTACTGTGGAGAAAATAATTTAAATATATCACAGAAAATCTCATACCTCCTTTTGGTTATATTTGATCGCAAGTTTTAGACGACTTAAATTCATTCTTTCTTCTAGTAATCCTCGTTTGTCAAGAGGCTCATCACTAGATGTGTGGTTTAGAATAACTTCCAATTCGCGTGAATTCCGGGCTTGTGCAAGCAAATCTTTAGCAAACATTTTACATTGCTGGGCTAGTTCCTCATAATCATTCCTGCAAAATGCAACAATTGATTTTTAGAAGTGTCACTTCCATCTTCCAATTAAGCTATTTTCACTAGAACACGTTTACTCAGTAATATTTTAGTTCTGATAGTGGTACACAAAATATGAAATCATCTTGTGCTGATCATCAAAGGAATCTACTGATGCATTAATTTTCCACAGCTTTGGAGAAAACTGTAACTCAATTATGTTCCCTGTGTTCACACTGATAATCTTAGATAAACAACATGTTTCCTTATAAATACTGATATTCCTAGAAATTTTGATAATATTTGTTAACTAGTTCTTCACTTAGCTCATTTGCCCTTAATCTCTATAAGTCTGGTATAAAACTTCCTTTTGTATTACTTATCTAGACAACAGATAATAATATCTTAATGCTAGCCCATAAAATTATTACATAGTTTTTAACTAAAAGTTTTTTCTATAATAGTCTGTAATATGTTTATGCTATTTCTGACATTAAAGTAATATTCTGATTCATTTTTAAAGTGTTCATTTGAACAAAATTCAAGCTAGAAAGAGATAGTGAAACATGCCTAATAAAGAATTCTCTTTCAGAATCACTATTTCTTGAAACTTAGGATATAACTGCTTGTTAAAGGCAGGCCTAAATCAATTTGTGAGAAACTAAGACATTTTAGTATATAATTCTATCTATTTTAATAAAGTAGATAATCCTTTCTTAAAATATCATTTACATTAAACCTATTTTTGAGTGTAACAACTTAAGAATGAAGTTAGAAATAAATAATTTGAGTCAAATGGACTTCAGAAAAGAATTTTTTATTCAGTTTTTGTTTTCTTAAAGGAAAAGGAAGGGAAAATAGGAAGATTTCCCATTGATTAATCTTTCTATACCATGGGGTTTTCCATTAACTGGCTGTAGAAAATTATAACTCAAAGAATTAAAAATTCTTTCTTAGAGGCTAATATTTTTCTCATCCATTCCTTGTATTTACTATGTAATTAAAATACATAAGAATAAATTATTGTGTTTCTCTAACAAATGAAGTATTACATGCTTCTTAGTCTAAGAACCTAATTGCAGATGGGAACATTCATCAAAAGTGTATATTATTACAAAGATATCCATGTCTTATATTGCACTCTTCCAGTATATATTTTGTCATTTCAAGTTTAAATATTTTAATTTATCCAAATTAAAATATAGTAGTTCCAAACTTAAAAACTTATTAACAAGTATTTTTTAAAATTTTTCTAGAACTTGGAGCTATTAAGAACACACTATGTATGCTGTAAAGGCTAAAAGAAATGGCAAGCTGCTTGTTGCCCTTCCAGAAAGTAGTTTAAATTTTCCCAGTCTTATCAAGTCACTGGAGGAATATAATATAAGACATGGAGTTCCAACATAAGCTGGACATGAAAGGAAAGGTAGGGATAGGTATAACCTCTCCATAACCCAGAACCTCACAATAGGAACTGGCAAGAAATCTTGATCAATTCCTCCTTCTTTGGAGGGCATCAGGGATACTTTAACTTAAGGGAAAGTCTCAAAGCTTTTCCTCAAGTTTTCTAAGGATTTGTTTAATGTTTAAATCAATAGTTTAATAGGCTACTTTCCCAAAGCCTTCCTTCCCTCCATCTCCAACTTATCTCTTAGGAAAAATTATAACACTGATTCTTTGGGTATACAAAGTGCCAGAATTACACTTAATTCTTCATTTCAGAAGGAAACTTAGACTGGGTATTCATCCCTCTTAATTGGTAGTATTTTATTCTTATGTTTACATGTTATTTCTCCTAATAGAAACTCACCAATGAAAAAGGGACTAGGTCTGCATGTGGAACATCCCTGACATACAGAAAACATTCTATATGCTTCTGAAAGTTATGAAGGATTACACTCCAAGAATGGTTATAGACTCTGGGAATGATGGGAGATAGGACAGAGAGCAGTTATAAATAAGTTTGCTCTTGCTTAAGGCGATCACTCCCACTAGTCTGCTCACTGCCCTGGGATGCCTTTGGAAACAATGTTGACCAAAGCAAGGATTTAAGGGTTGTGCAAGAGGGGCAGAGAGCAAATGGGGAAGGAGTGATCTAAAAGAAGTAGGGTCTAGCCCACTGAGGAGGAAGGAAAATCCAAAGCAGGTGGCAGCAAGGTCTGGTCATTCTGGATCAAATGTAAATAAACATAAATTATAATCTGGCCTATGAAAACATTCAAGCTGAAAACAGTCTGAAAAAAAAGATATAATTCACAATTTCCATTCATTCCCACCTGAATTCCACCTCCACAAGGCTTAGTTCTTTTAAATCAGCACTAAGTTCAAATGCTCTCAGAATTGGATCCTCCTCTGTTAACATAATCAGAGCTGGACTGGCCAAACAACGATATATATCAAGACGAAACCTGTGATAAAATTTGATTCCATAATGTAAAATAGAATTATTATATACATTTGATTAGTATTTTTAATCCACAATTTACATAGATTATTATGAAATCAGAAGAAAATAAAACAAATATAACATACTTATTACAAGATAATCAGCATATATAGAAAAAGATTAAAAAATATTTTGAAGGAGCATTTGAAATCTTGCTCCCCAGTATAATATCAGTTTGGCTCAAATAAACTCTTATAAAAATTCAAAAAAAGATAAAATAAAAATAAAAATATTTGGAAGTATAAATATCAAAAAATTTTATGTCTATTGCTTTTAAGGTAATTTATTTTCATAGATTCAAAACTTTGTATTCTTCAATGCAACTTAATTAGAATTTTTCTATTCCTGAATCCAATGTTATTTTAAATTAAATATGCTAATAACTAATACATTTGATTATATGTGGATGATTATTAAGTGTTTCGTTCCCCAGTGGTGAGATTACTTTAATAGGCTAGATATTATAACACATGACTCATTCATTCAGGTTATTTTTTAAAGATGTTTCAAATCTTAAGAATGAAATCATGCATTTATGAATAATTTCTAGCTCATAGAGTATTCCCTTTACCTTCTGTAAACTAACATTCATATTCAATATCTAAATAAAAACAAAACCAGAAAAATTTTGTCATAATTCTTTCATTTATAAATATATAATTTTAATTTTTTAAATGTGGTAGATATTATATTATATATTTTTTCTTTTAAATATAAATTTAATACATGCTTATAGTTAAAAAAAAAGGAAGCAGTTTGGAAACAGGATGCTCCCTAACTTTCTTCCTTCCATCAGTTTTACTCCTCAAAGTTAGTTACACTCAGATAATTGTGAATATCTTTCATGATATTTTCTATTCACACACAAACATAATCAGACATACTACGTAATGGGATAACTCTTTGTATGTCACTACATATAGAGTCATCTCATTATTTTTGAAAACTGGGCAGATTTCCATTTTATGGAGGTCCACCAGATCTGCATTAATAGAAATTTAGGTTGCTTCTATTTTTATACTTCTATAAATAATGCAGCAATGAACATTGTTTAGTTCCCATATCCTTTGCGTACTTATGATATAGGGAAGAGGCAGGAGAAATAAATATTAAACCAAGTTGTATTCAAAGCCTGCAATGCACTGCCAGACCACGGAAAACCTAGAGAACCAAAGAAGATTCCTGCTAGGATTACTAACAAACTATTTACCCACACCATGAAAGGAAAACAGGAAAACGGTCTTTAGTATTATCCTGCACAAACCCAACCATTCATTCCCTAGGCCAGACCACAGGGAACCTACAGAACAAGGACTGTGATTACTAACATGTCTTTACTGCTGCATACACATACTTTTCACTCTGCATACCCATACCATCAAAAGAAAATAGGGAAACAAAGACTTTAAACTGTAGTTCAAAGAAACTAAGAAAGACATATAAACTGAATTCCTCAAACACTCGGAGTCTCTTTCATTCTCCGTCTCTGAGAGGACACAATGCTCTGTTTATGAAGCGTTCCTTCTCTAATAAACTTTTGTCTCTAACTCTGGCATGTGCTTGAATCCTTGCCAGTGACCAGTTAAGGATCCCGTCTCTTGGTGTAGTACTTGAGTCCACACTGAGGGGGGATTCGCCTCATCCTGCATCACTTAGAATTGCTAGATAAAATGGCATGTGTATTTTGTATTTTGATATATGTTTCCAAAGTACTAACAAGAGTTCATTTTCCCCATCTTTATCTGCCCATAACAGATAAAAATTGAAATTTTAGAGTTGTTTTACTTGGAATTTCATTAGAAGCTTAAGCATCCATTCATGTTTACTATCTATTTACAATTCAATAAACTGTTCATTCTCATTAGCTGATTTTTCCAGTAAATGTTTATCTTTTTTAAAAATCAATTTGTAACATCACTTTATATATCAAAGAAATTAGCCCTCTGTCTAGTCAAAAGTGTCTTAAATACTTTCCCCCAGTTTGTTGTCTTTTTACTTGGTTTACAATCAAATTTTTCTACATGGAAATTTAAAATTTTTATTTAAACAAATTTATTGAAATATTCTTTAGTTACTTTATAGGTTTCATATCTTACTTAGATACAAAAGTAGATCCTGCATAACAGGGGTCCCCAACTCCCAGGCCACGGTCTGGTAGTGGTCCGTGGCCTGTTAGAAATTAAGCCGTATAGCAGAAGGTGAGCGGCGAGTAGTGTGAAGCATTTGCAGCTGTTCCCCAGCACTAGCATCACCACCTCAGCTCCACCTCAGACCATCAGGCATTAGACTCTCATAGGAGCACAAACCCTACTGTGAACTGCACATGCGAGGGAGCTATGTTGCATGCTCCTTATGAGAATCTAATGCCTGATGAAATGATGTGAAGCTGAGGTGGTGATGCTAGCACAGGGGAGTGGCTGCAAATACAGATTAATACTAGCAGAGAGGTTTGACTGTGCAGAGACCATAATAAATCAATTGCTTGCAGACTCATATCAAAACCCTATCCGTGAGTGGCAAAAGACAATTAAAGTGCATCTAGCAGCAGGTTTTATAGTGGCAAATGAGTTGATGTACTTCAATTGTACAGCTGCATCTGGTGGCATCTGATTCTGCATTATGGTGAGTTCTATAATTATTTCACTATATATTACAATGTAATAACAACAGAAATAAAGTGCACAATAAATATAATGAACTTGAATCATCCCAAACCCCCTGCCCCTGGTTCATGGAAAAATCATTTTCCATGAAACCAGTCCCTGGTGCCAAAAAGGTTGGGGTCTGCTGAAGTATAATGCATTTTTATGAAAACAACATTTATGATTCCCAGTTAAGATCTAGCTATTCAATAAACAAGTACAATCATTTATATCTTAAGAATTTCTAAAGAGGTATTTGCCAACACCAATACTGCCCCAAAACTTCAGAAAAATATATATAATTAGGCAACTTATCTTTGTTTCCATCAGTATGTCAATATTAATTAATTTTATCAGATTGTTTCTAAAAACAACTTTTGTATTAACCTACATTATCATGTCTTAAATATATTAAGGATTAATGACAAAATGCACAGGAAGAATGACTGCTAGTAATGGTAGCAATCAATTGTGCTGGAGTAATAATGAAGTGCTATTGTATGGAAAGTATTTAGATATAATCTGACAAACAATGAGGCTGCCTCACTTTATAAAATCTATCATTTTTGATATTCAAAACATTATCAAAAGTATTGGTTGTATAAAGAGGTCAGTGATTCTACTACACAGAAATATGCATAAAAATGGACAAAATTATTTCTCAAAATCAATCATTTCAGGTCTCTGGAAATTATCTACTGAGAACAGATTATTGAAAAATTGCCAGAGCTGTAGGCAAGAATGGCTGTAATCTATGGTCTTCTTGCCTGAAGCTACTTCTATCACCTCTGCCAAAAGTTCAGTCAATGAGAACTGCAGTTTTTCAGCCCAAAGCTGGTAAACCTGTACCTTTGTGCATAAAGGTTAAAAATCAATTCAGTGGGAGGTGAAAACTTACTGTTCTGCTGGCTGAAGGGGTTGGACATGGTAGAGATGAACAGGGAAAACCTGTAGCTTTGCAAGACCAAGCTTGCAGTCTGAGTTGAGGCAAAAAGTAGACTAACCAGAAATTTAACAGGGAGATCTTAGAAATGAGAAAAGTCACAGAAAGATTCACAGATCCCTGGCTTACTTAAAAATTAGGCATCAGAAAATTTGGTAAAAAGAAAAAGACAAAGAACTCTTGAGAAATGGCTGCAACTTTGAATATATTCCCCAAGTAACCCACACATAGATCAGGAGACAGATGAACCCTCATGGGCTCAAAGTATATTAACGTAATCTCTGCCCAAATCATTGGCTGACCTATAAAGACACTGAAATGACCTTTAGGAATCAAAAACTGAAAAAAAGAATAAAAAACAAACAAACTAAGCACAGAGATCAGTGATTATATACCCCAGGGAGACAGAGTCTATAGGCCAGAAAAGTCAGAAAATAGAGGCGGTGGAAATATCAAAAGTCATTTTATGAAACCAGTATATCCTAGTATAAAAATGAGACAAAGACATCATAAGAAGAGAAAGCTCTAGAACAATATCCCTTATGAACATAGATACAAAAATATTTAACATATTAGTAAACTAAATTAGTAACACATAAGATGAATTATATAACACAACCAAGTGGGGTTTATCACAGGAATGCAAAGTTAGTTTGACATCCAAACATCAACTAATATAACATATAAATAAAAAGCAAATAGCATAGGCTCATCTTAATAGATGAGAAAAAAACATTAAAAAAAAATCCAAAATCAATTCATAATTTAAAGAAACTTTAGGACGTGGTTCCATAGTGTAGTGGTTAGCACATCTGCTTTACATGCAGAAGGTCCTGGTTCGCACCCCAGTGGGGCCACGGTCCATGGTCTACGGCCATGCCACCATGAACAAGCCCGATGTCTGATCTCGGAGGCTAAGCAGGGTTGGGCCTGGTTAGTACTTGGATGGGAGACCACCTAGGAAGACCAGGTGCTGTAGGCATAAATAATAATAATAAATAAAGGAAAGAAAGAAACTCTAAAATCTAGAAATAGAAAGGAATTTCCTCATTCTTATAAAGAATATCTTTGAAAAATTTTCAGCTAACACCATAATTAATAGTAAAAGACGTCATTCTTTCCCACTAAATCCAGAACAAGGCAAGGATACCCATTCTTCTACCTGTATTCATAATTACGCTGGAGGTTCTAGCCAGTGCAATAAGGCAAGAAAATTAAGGCTTAAAGATTTGAAAAGAAGTACTGCCATTATTTACAGGTGACATAATTTTACACATATAAAATTCTTAGGAATCTTAAAAAAATTTATTAGAATGAATAAGTGAGTTTAGCAAGATCACAGGATATAAAACCAATATACAAAAAAAAATCTATTTT